AAACTACTTACTAATGTGAGTAGCATCTCACAACACTTGTATTATTATTTATTCTATCGAGAAATTACTGATTCCAATGAGTAATACAGGAGTGAGCAGCTAGAAGTGAACTTGTTAAGTTGTGGCATCATGTGACACACGCCACGAAAACGAATCAAGAGATTTTCATATTTGTTTCATTCTCTCCAGAACTCAAATGTTTAAAGTCATCAGAATAGCAGACTGGGGATCCCGAGTTCGAATCCCTCTACCGTCACTGCCTATGCCTGATTTTTGTATTTCCCCAGGCGAATTTTGAACGACCGGGGGATCCTTTCTGAAAGCTAACTGGACATTGGTATGCCTGATAAATAAAAGAAGAAAGTAAAATCAATTTTTTATGCTATCTTTAATGGATTCATCAAACTAACAATGGATCGAACACAAATAGGCAGGACTATGAACACTGGATGTGTTAACAACGTCAAACTACCACTCGGTTGATTTCACTGCGATACTGCACACACACATTCATTTCTGTCAGTGGACACTGATCGACGCCCCCTAGATACAGGTCGAATTGTGGGCGCACGAAGTGTATCTAAAAGTGACCACTTTCGACCACGTTATTCGATTGCTTTGGGTAGGAAAAATATAATTAAGATAATAACTCAGTGAGAATAACTAACTATTCAAGAGTCCAATTCAATTTCGATTTTGTGATGCTTTCGGGGATCATAGCGACATTCATTCATTGATTTTTGAAGTTAGAAATTTTTGAGCTCACATGTGTCACTATCATTGGGGTAGAAATATTGAGAGCATATACTGAGAACATTCTCGTAAGAGAGTAATGGAAGATTTGGTTTGATCAACTGGTGAATTTGATCGTGTACAGAGTGTATGGAAATACTAGGACGAACTGGACAGCTGTTTCGACCTAGTTGGGTCTCACCAACAGTGTGAATCCATCGACCCAATTGGGGATACAGCCCGGAACCTGATAGGCAGAACGCATGCATGCTACCCACCCGGTCACCGAGTAATTTCAGTATACATGATATAGCGCAACTCATCTCTGCGAGCTTGTTGCGGACCACTCTCTGACCAGCTGGCCGGTGACGGAGTGGGTATTATCTACTCGTTCTACCAGTTAGATCACGAGTTGTTATATTACGGGAGATATACAAAAAAACAATTTTCACCTAATCAGTGCTTCTTAGTTTTGTACTTCATGCTTAATTTTTTTCTGTACACGATTAAATTCGTCATTTGAACAAAAATTGAGTGGGTTCACCTACGCCTGGGTTCCATCACAAGCTAACAGCTGCATGCCTTATCAGCGAGGGCAGAGACCAGATAGGAAACGAATAATATCTAGTGGAATGACGAAGGTAGGCAACTGGTGCAAAGTTGTTGATATCCACAAACCGTAAGTTAGATCTGAATGCGGGATTTTGAATTCACAACTGATGACTGTTGTGGCCTGCAGCTGAGTGAAAGGTTTACCGCAAATCACGTGATTGACCGTTGTGACCTGCCCCCACACGTACGTACGCACGTCATGCAGACTTACTCAGTTGCAAGGCAGATCCGCCTCATCGAATCAGAGGTCAGTATGGACCCGGATTGGTTGGTTCGTTGACTGCCCAGCGCGACGACATTTTCCTTTTGGTAGCGTGTTTATGTGAACTGGCCATTCGGCAAACTTCATCTTCACACGCAGTCCTCTGCCCATACAGTCACACATACATCCGGGAAGCTCAAGACTCGAGTTTCGCTCTAATTAGAGCTTATCAATAGTTCACATCCATCATCTCGTTCCAGCTGCGAACTGCGAACCCATTTCACAGACGGTCTTCGTTACCACTGTGCCAGCCAGCTTACAGCAGGGCTGACGGGAATCGCTGATTCATGTTTGCTCGGATTTCGTCTTCAGTGATGATCAGTTAGTTACTTGAACCTGACAGCGACGGAGGGAAACGCAATTAACTCGATTCGAAGGCCTCCCACCAAATAAGGAATTCCGTGTAGATTCAGTCAATCTTGTCACAAAAGAAACTAAACCCGAAGTTCCAAGCTTGGACGGAACGGTCGACACACACTCCTGATGAGCTCTACTTAGAGCCATAAACTCGAGTCTGATACTTCTCGAATCTAGGGTTGATTGGATGAACTGCCGTGTGTGGGTGAAGATGCTGTCTGAAAGATGGTCAATTCACATCAGTTTTGTTTATCCCAAGCCACTACTCATAAGTAACTGCCAGCAGAATGAGAATTTAGAAACGTGTTGAAAAAAATCGTAGATATTGAATTTCATCCAGGTGATGAGTCACGGTCTGTCAACGACGGATCAGGAGCAAACAATGCACTGAAGCAGTAGCAATAAATACCGCGGAAATCTAGCTTCTTGAAGAACTCCACATGTGCCCGATCGCGATTTGAATTTCTTCTACACACCGTGCTACACAGAGTCCTAGAGTAGAAATAGTCCAATATTCAAATTCCTCGGTACAGCCAAAAGGTTACAGTTTGTACGGGAGACGAAATCACAGCTCCCGATCCATTGGTGGTTCCTCGTCCAAGAGGGCCCGGTAGACATACAGATGAAATTATCACATTTTAAAAGGAAATATCCCATGAAGTATACCTAACCAGATGTGTATTTCCACCCCCTGTAAATGAACTACTCCGTTCATCCGACATAATGAATGTTAAGAGTAGACTGTAAGCTCTGAAGCGTGATGCGTTCCGTCAGTTCACTTCCTCAATAGACTAATTCATACATCCGAAAACATTGAAGACAACAATAATGTGCGGCTTGAACCCAGAATGATCTACTGGTACATGTATTCGGTCCGATCGGCTATTGAGCGAGTTTCTAACTCCAACCTCTCGAGCACATGCAGGCTGACAAAATGTCTTCCGAACGCTAGAATCAAGACGATATTAGGATGTATCCCTTCTCTCGTTTCCTAACCCTCAAAATAGTTCAGTTCATCTGTGCAGGGCCACAACCAGACATCCTAGAACAGGTTGATTGCCTGTCTGTCTGTCTGTCTGTCCGTTCCTGATTCAGCCAATGAAGTTCTCTCTATTTGCTTGCTCGGGCGCCGAAGCGTAAACATGAGTACGCGTGCAGGATTATGTAGAGAACAGTGCAAATTTTCATTCGGTTTAACCAAATCTGTGTCTCTGTTATCCACCTCTGTTTTACCTGCCTAACTGATCTTTTCTGATCAGCCATTCACGGCTACAACTCCTCGTCCTAATTACCACAATTTGTCCCTAACTCTAACTCCAACTGTGCGGATTTAAGCCGTCTCCAACTGTGTCACTTTCCTTTGCGTCCGACCAAAACTTGCATTCGCGTGGAATGAATTCAACCGCGGTCACAGATGAAACTTACTATGTACAAAATCTGATTGTTGGTCTGCTCGGTGTGGCCAATATTGTTCTCGGGCTGACTGGAAGTGTAATTTGGTTGATCTACTTGAGTTGTAACACACGGGGTCAGCATCGGCTACCACCACACGGTTCAGGTGACCTGCCGGAAACACAAAAGTCAAACTGTGATCCAGCCCAAACCGAATCAGATGTGCGGTATGAGTGGCCTGTGTGTCCATTGCGTCGTTCCACACGCCTCTTCATGATAACTATGTGTTTAAGTGACCTCCTGGGTCTGTTTACCAGTAATCTACGTTTTACCGTGCTCTCATTGACCAGGTCGGATATGCGTTTGAAGTGGGGGGACAATTTGTGTCGATTGCAAATTCTTCTTGCCTATCTAGCTGGAGATATGGCCACTTGGTTACAAATGATCGTGTGCATGGAACGATTTCTCATCATTCTACGGCCCACATGGTCTTACAGCCTCGATCGAAGTCGTATTCGACCGGCCATTGCACTGATCTTGACCGTCTTGATGGCCACATTGATAGCGAATGTGTTTATTGTGCTTCCCGAGGAAAAAGTTTGCGAGAGAAGTTATAGCAACTTGATCATCACATGGTTTAAAATGGTTTACTCATTCCTTGTCCCGCTCCCGTTACTGTCTATTTCTCTTATCGGAGTGACTGTCCTACTAATCATCCGGACACAATCCACCTGTTTATCAGGTCCACTGAAAAAACTTTTCCCAAATCGGGGTAGCATTGAAAACTTTCCATCGGAAGCGATCTATGCTTCACAGTTGATGCTTATCATGGGTTTAGTAACCCTGGCTACCTCCTTGGCTATTCTAATCAATGTGACACAACATGCCACTTACTGTTGCACTTTGACCGCGTTCACAAATGGCACATGGGAAGATTTGCGCTTCAATGCGATCAGTTTATCCTTCTATACGGCTATTTGTGTTCGTTCTTGTATGCTCATAGTGAGTTCGTCTCGCACGCGTGGGGATATTGGACAAATTGTCCGATTACTGGTCAGATGTGTTCCCTGTCGGCGGATTCGTTGCAGTCTTTGAGGGAGGAAACAAACAGCCATGATCCACCGTCGTGAAGAGCAGTTTAAAAGGAGAATGCGGAAAGGGACTGATAGCCCTGTTCTTTTTTGTTGTTCTTGTTGATGACGATGTTTTTCTTTTCCATGTGTTAAAATAGAAAAAGAGACAAAGAACAGAGAATAGTTCTAACCCTGGTCATCAAAGTACAAATTCGTGGGGCTTATTGACTTAGATAACCTTAGATCAGAAATTGTTATCGGAAATGAGGTGGAATGATTGTAGCTCGGGATGCTCGGGATGTTGCTGTTGGTGAGTGAGTTCTCCGAGCTGGAAGTGTCGTTCGCAGACGTTTCGTAGCCAAGCTAGGCAACATCATCAGTGCTTCCCCTAAGTCGCACCGATGATGTTACCTAGCTTGGCTACGAAATGTCTGCGAACAACACTTCTAGTTAGGAGAACTCACTAAGACCAAAAATTGTAGCTTTTAGTGGGGTATGGAAATAATTTGAGCATCGCTGTCTATTGATTTTTTCTTTCTTTTGTTGTTGTTACTGTTTTACTTGCATTTATCGAAAATATATGACTGGACAAACAACTATTGACTATGTGGAAATGGTTAATCCATGAGCTACCATCTGATACAAAGAAATGGGGAAATTTAGGCTACTGAGATGACTTCGAACACACGACCTCTAGGATTATAAGTTGGTGAGTCTAACCGCTTGACCACAGTAACTCAAGGAAGTGGTGTCATATATATAGTGGAGTGGGAAATCTTTTCAGATTGTCTACAATGAACGATAGAATGATCGTAATCAAGTACGAAAACATTATTTTTGTGCCCTAATCGATTTTTGTACGGACAACAGGTTTGGAAGCGCAGGTTAAGCAGAGCTGAACGCTACCAGGCGCGTCTCCGGGTTGTGAATAGAGGGATGCCTTCACCGAAGAAGGTTAGCTGTGAATAAGTTGTGGCATAACTGCAACAAATAAGCAGTCGCAAACAAACAGCGGCGGCACTACCAAGGTGGGGTGGATTTCAGGCTGGTCACCTGGCTCCTGTTTAAAAGCCGCATAAGCCCAATGACGGTGTCTTGACAAAGGTCGATGTGACTGGGATTTTAAAACTAAAGCCATTGACTCTCTCACTTCCGAGACCAGGGATTACTTTCTGCTGCCTTGCAGTTCGCACTTGGTTGTGCAAAGACTAGAGGTGCACCCTCACAATAAAAAAACGCCGAGTGACGCTGGGTACGTCTCTCGTATCAAACTCCGCAGGAACTTCGTGATCATAATCGTGATCATGTCTGAAGCCGGCTTATCCTTTTCAAGGAGCCAGCTGCAGTGAAGTAAATTAAAGTGACAGGTTTTGAATGAACACTGGGATCTGCGGGAAGCGCAGGTTGCGTAGATGTTATCGGCTGTGAACGATTAGGCCCAAAGTTTCATAGATCCCATGCCAATATTTATTTCGTCGACTGATAAAAGCATGAAACAATCTCAGAGTTGCTTACTTTTTTATTACACACCTAAGTGTGATGAATAGCAGACGGGGCGAACCCCATAGTCACGAAGACCTGCTGTTCAGTAGTGGAAACCGGTAACCTCAGCCCCGGGACTTGGAGTGGCGAACCAAATAGGGCTCTGATGTTTCATGCGTGGTATG